CGCGTGTAAATAAAAATTCAAGTGAATTAAGTTAACTGAACCTGCGTAAACATTTTTGCACTTTGGCGCGATTCCGCTCCAAGCCATTAAAAAATATTGAGGCTAAACGAGTGAGACGCTTTAGGGCGTTTTTATTCCTCATATTGTTGAGGGAATACGCGGGCCTCCGAATGGTGATTGCCAGAGGGCAGCCTTTGCCTCCTTGATTCTAGCTCGTCATCATTTCGATTGGATTTTGCAGCATGAGCAGCGCCTTCTATGCTCATCCGCAATCCAGGAGTTTTGGTTTTATATTATATTGTAATATTTGATTCCGAAGCGCAATTACAATTTTGGCAAAGTGCCAAGTGCGCTGCGCGCTATGCTCGCCGCGCGCACGGCTGTTAGTATATAAACGGGATCGGGGTCTGGCCGCAAATATGCATTCTAGGCGGAACATAGAGGAATTGGCGTGTCCCATGGTCCTGGATCTCCATTCCTGCGCATGTTCGGACGGGGAAAACTGCTACGCTTCGGCAGCTGGGGGCTGTTAGTCACGCACACCCAAACCACTTGTGTGATCCTACCATGTGCCTTCAAACTGAACTGGCCCTGGGCTCAGAGAGATTAACTGAACCGGTGAGTCTGTAGATGTCCATCAAACAATTCACATACCCACATTGCCGACTCTCCGATGATCCTACCAATATGGGTTATGTACGGAACCCTTGTTTGTTGAGAAAAGCTTATGATTCATTCAGGTATTGAAGAAAGGTACTGAATTCTATGTTTCAGATGACGGCAAGGATTACTTCGTCATCAGTACCTTCCAGTGGTTCTTCGACGACGACAGGATCTACGTGAGTGCACAGTATGTCTTGACCAGGGTCCAGCATCGTGATGATTGAAATGAAACGGTCGACTTACGAACCCACGAAAAAATCCCTATCTCGTCGACCCCCCCCCCTCTTCAAATTCTATCCTTAAAGTCCCAAAGTTCCTAGCAGCTATTCCCCCAAATTCACAGAGATATTTTCCAGTTTTCCCAACTTCTTGCCGCCTTTCCCAGTTTTACAGAAATTTTTCGTTTTTTCCGAACAACTGCCGTCTAGCGTGGAGACGGGATGGGGGAGGGGCGTAAGTAGGCCGATCACCTCCGTCATCGTCTATGAAAGAACTATTGCGAGTCATTAATGAAAGGACAAGATAAAAGGATATAAGTCTTACGGCCGTGTGACCAAACTCTTTGTTGTGAATGCGAAACACGCGATCACTTCCATCAGATCGTAATGGCTTATTGATGCGGATTCGACCTATACAATGACTTGCGCGTGGACCAAGGCGCCGATATACAATCAAGTGTTTTCATCTTCCCAGACGGATCTATTACAATTTACGCTCCGCCGGAGGATTAGAAGGCTTGGTTGGCCTGGCGTTAGTCGATCGCGGGATTTGACCGGGCGCCGCGCCGAGTGGAGGCGCGCCGCGCTGTCAGACTACACTAAGCATCCGCCTTATCCTTTTAGAGTAATAATAATGGAGGTATAAATGAGTATCGTTCGTTTTGCACCGCCACTTAATTCCAGCGAGTGCCTATAATTGTGAACGTGAAACAAAAAAAATCGAGAAACATTCAACAACCAAAAAAATTGCCGCAACCCCGGAAAGTCCTCTTGAAGCCGGATACGACCTTCACTGACCGAATACGACCCTCCTCACTGATGACCAATCTGTCCTCCTCCCTGATGACCAAGTATGTCTCCCTGACAGAGTGCAACGATGATGCACCCTGTGTGTATCTATCCAGTTCAAGCAGTTTGTGGTATTACAGGACGCAGCAATTTCCGGGTTTTGGCGAAACTGGGAAGGGTGTTCTTGAAAGTGTGAGTTTCTTCACTAAAGGCCCAAAGTCCAGTTCACGCTCATCGTATCGGCTCGTGATCGCTGCGCATGCTGGGGCGTTCTGGTAATTTGGTTTGGCACGCCGCCAGTCCATATTCCGTTTGTTGTGGCTAACGCTCTTCACCAACTGGTGGAGAACAGGTTGGCGCGTCGCCGAACCTATCCCCCTGACAAGCCCCAGCATCCGCAGCGAAAAAGACTGTGCAGGTCTCGCCTTATGATCAGCCTTGATTGCACCTTCTATATTATACAGTCGCCACGGGCAGCTGATTAGGCGGCCAAAGGGTCGCGACGCGGCTGCGGCTCGTCACGACCGCGGCGATCAACTGTTTCCAGCCTGGTTTAGCCATTTTCTCCCTAATTTCACTGTATTTTCTATTTTTCCCCAGGTAAGTTGTGTTATTGCCTTTATGAAGTGTATTAGGACGTGGATTCCTTTTTTTTTTGTAATGAAGTGTTTTTGCGATTTTTTGGGTATTTGTTTAATTGTTTGTTTAATTGTTTGATTGTTCGCAAAAATTAGAGAAATCTCAATCATAATTTACCTTGTGAAGACAAGGAACAACTAACCTCAAGAAAAGCAGCCAAAAACAGTGAAAATTAGGGAGAAAATGGCTAAATAGGCTGGAAACAGCTGATCGCCGCGGTCGTGACGCGCCGCAGCCGCGTCGCGACCCTTGGCCGCCTAATCAAGTGCCCGGATGACGACTGCAGATTTAGTCATAATGACGAGCATTCAGGCCGAGCCAAAGAAGCAGCGACTAAAAAAGTTTTTCTTCCGAATCAAAGAAAGCATTGGAATGGTGGAAAAAACGGAAATATCAAAGGCATTCACTCAATCATTGTCTCACCTCGATAAATACAAGGCTTGTCCTTTTCCTTACTTCCAGAGTATTAGAATCAAAACATTGGAAGACCACCTTTGCAGTAGGTGGATGGCCTACCTAGAAGCCTAAAGAGCTTGAAACAAGCAGTCGGTGACCTACTGCGGATCACGTACGCCTAATGTGCACCCCTCGACTGTCGCAACAGCACGTACGGTCCTCATCATTGCGGACCGGTGGGGCGTGTCAGCCAGTATGAGTGTGCCTACAGAAAATGTGGTAGATAAAACATGTAATACGAAGGATATAATACAGTAATGTCACTTGCCCGCTTCAACAACTGGTGCAGAACGACTTTGGCGCGCCAAACGCAGCCGCACTGACACGCCCCACCGGTCCGCAATGATGAGGACTGTACGTGCTCACACGGGGAAAGGGCTGAAGGGTAGTCCATCCAGGTATCGGCACCCTTCAGCCCCATTCACGTGCCTGAGCGGAGAAAGCGACAAGTTACTGCAGCTGCGCACGGGGAAGGCCCAACATCTTCGGAGGTTATCGAATCAAACTGCGGAAGAAGTGTCAAACGTTCTAAGAAAAGTGCTCTTCTGAAACATGCAGAATTTCGTTACTAATAAGAGTGTATTCAACCTGTGGATACAGTTTTCTTCGCTGCGGATGATGAGGCTTGTCAGGGGGTGGGACTGGCTTTGGCGTGCCGCCAGACCCTTTTCCAGCAATTGCGGAAGCTGGGATGCGACCACAATTGTGGAAAACTGGCTGGCATCGCGCCAAACCCAGGCCCTTCAAACATTCCACGCCTGCAGCGAACAAGTCTATGTAATTAATGAGGAGAGTTTTCCGTTGTTATGTCACTTCTTACCTTCTCAGACAACCTGACTTGCAGACCGCGAGTGGGAAGGAGGCTTTCACATAAAGTAGAAGATTAACTCTCCAATAATAATACCTTTCTATTTCCAGTTAAGCCTTGATGCTGTCTTCGGAGCGCTCTGTGCTGTAACACAAGAAAATCCTACCTATCGGAAGGAGGTGGGATCATTCGAAAATTCCTTATTTCTTGGTCCAATCGCGGGCAACTAGAAGCGTATAGAGCAAAAAAAGGCGCATCCCGTGCAGGTTGTAAGGGGTGAAACCTCGCCCTTACAACCTGCACGGGATGCGCCTGGTGTTTACTCATTAGCGAGCACCTCCTCTTCACCGCCTTAGAAAGGTCACTATTGAGAAAGGCGGAATGGTAAGCCTGGCACTCCCCACGCGGCTAGCGTAGAATTCGCCTCTTAATTTCGCAAGCTTGAAGAAAAGGTGCGAAACCTTACCACGTCAAAAGGTACAGGGAAAAGAATTACAACGGGGCAACGCCTGATACAGAGAACCAAGCAATGGGGAATTTCGAAGGAGCAAGGGCAGAAAGATTGGAAATGAGAGACTGAAGATGAGGAGCCGTAGAAATGTGGAGCACGATGGGCAAACATCAAGAGTAACGAGGAAGTATGGAAAAGGGTGATAGAGGGACAGAAAGAGGGAGGTTGCAGCAGAACTGGAAAAGGGTAGGTACCAGAATCGAAAAGAGATATAATGGAAAAGATCAAGTCGGTCCATGGGAAAGTTCAATGGTGCATCAGGCGATAACTGATGGGCAGGATTCACCTTTGTCACTTCGATACCCCTCGTCTTTGTCGGCAGCTCTGAGAAGTACATTCCACGATAACCGTATGGGCGGGGACTCATGATTGCTGCGTCTTCAAAGCTATTTGATCTGTGATACCGACCAGTTTCTTCATGAGATGCGCTATATAGTTGACTGCCACTCAAAATTGCAGAATTATCTGAATGCATCTCTAGCCCGTAAATAAATCCCCATTCAACACACTCCTAGTCGCTACGAATAAAGGGGCGTGTCAGCGAAGCAGGTTTGGCGCGCCGGCAGCCCGTTCACCAGCGAGCCAGCAGGGTGGACGAAGGACAAACGCAAACGGATGTGATGCAGTCTTGTCGCTTGCCGAACGAAAAAAAGGACAAATTTGACATTTGACAAGATTGGCCGTCTCCGCGCCGAACCCTTCCTGAACACGGCCCCAGCATTCATCAGCGAACAAGATTTTTGTTCGAAGCCACTGTGTTCATTCTGTCATAATTAGTCCTGCGCCAGTTGGCCTGCAGACGCAACGCAAGCTCGGGTAATTGCCTTACCGCGTCGAAATGGGCCGAAGGGGTGGAATAAGAGGTTCTAGGCACAGATCAACATAAGTCCGCGATATCACTTTTAAGGAGCATAAGATGGAGATGCAAGCCCCAGCTGGCGAAGAAGAACACGAACTTGTAGCCGCATGTCTTGGCAAAGGAGGTGGTCTCGAAGATTACAAAGTGACTATCCCAAAAGCTTTTAATATCTATGACCTGTGAGCAACTTGACCGTTCAGAATAATAAAGTACAAGTGGAGTTATTCGAAAAACAAGGGAATCGGCGGCGTGAATACATTACTAAAGCCAGATCTTCGATTGAAAATATACGAACATTCGTTCAGAATGATTACTGGGTCATCGGAACACATCGAACAGGTAAGAAGAAATCTCTGTTCCAGCCGAAACAATTTTACCTAAATACCCTTCCCTAAATAAATACTCTGAATATTTCCTTGAAGAATTGAACACGCTTCGAAGAGATATGGATTTTGCCAAGGCAGAACTGAAGGCAGCAAAAGATGCACAGTTGGTTGGCATAAAGAACCAGCTCTACAATCTGGCCGTAACAGCATTCGAAGAGAAGCTGAAACAGGTCAGTCAAATCAGGCTGTGTTGATTGCATGGTAATGATCATGCCTTCCACTTCTCCCATATAACCGCACCATTTTGATCATAGCCAGAAATGGGTCAGAAATCTGACTTTCGTCCAAGCGCTTCACACGGCCGTGCCTCCATTTCTGGACGTTGCCGCAAGAGGCTTGGCCCCCTTACCTGCACCCGGACGTTTTGGGACCAAGTGCACGAAGATTTTTGCAAGGAAATCAATACCAGGTTTCGGAAGATTTATAGAAGGCTTCGTTCACCTGAGAGACCTTCGACAATCACGCGCAGAACGTAAGCTCTGCAACAAGAGGTCCCACCCGCGAAATAGGTGCTCTCTTCACGAACCCAACAGTCTTGGCACTACTCCAAATCACTGAACGAGGAAAGAAATGTCTTAAAGGCAGTTGGCACGATGAATTGCTAAGACGAGTAGGTAATACGCCTGGCAGGGAATTCTGCAACCCTGAGCAGTCGCTGCATAGTTTCCCCAAGGAAGGTACACTTATATGGCCCTATAAAGCTACAATAGACGAGCCGGTCCCCACCATGCCCGCCTGCCCACAAATGGGCGACTGTACTGATGTCTCGTATTGCTTCATTTGCTTGAGCGAAATTATAGCGAAGGGATTGGTGTGAAGCGGCTGCGATGGTGCATGGCTATATGAGTACATACATACGTGCAGCAGTACCTACCGTAGCGGCGATTGGCGAGATGTCTGCGGAAAAACTCGTCAGAAATTGCTTTTCGAATCATCAAGAAAGAGGGCTCTCCTTCGCAGGTTTTTGACCGTTCCACTTCGTTTTTTCGCCATGTTGCCACTATGTAGCACTCTGCTAGCATTGTAGGTATACCGAAATATCGTGCCACTGCCTTCAAAGACAGTGGGCACGATTGCTTGGGGGTGCTCTGTTGTTTGGCCAGCTCATTCCTGAGTGGCTAGGAGGTGCGCGTGGTCATTATGCACGTCATTGCTGGAAGGGCGTTGGCCACACCCCCCCCCTCCTCCTGCCCGAGAAGAGCTGGGCAGTTTGGCCAAACGATCTCTTCAGCCCTCCCACCAATGAAGCTGGCAGCAATCGTCTGCCTCTAGCAATCGTGCCCACTGCCCTTATGCAGACTGAAGCTCCCAAGCGAAACTGGACATTGGCGCAACCTTCGCAAGACGATATATGGCTTGCGCTTTCGACACGACCTTTTAGAGCACTTCTACTTCCATGCCGTCGTAACCTACGCAATGGCTACAAACTGTCCATAAACATTTCCGGTGACACACAATCTCACATCATGGGTGTGTCAAAAGGTCCATGTCTCGAAGGCGCGCCAAACCGAGCAGGACCATTCCCAGCTAACAAGCTTTTGAAATGCTGCAGCACTTTTGTGTCAAACCAATTAGGCCGTGGAGTGAATGTCGCGCACCCTTTGCAGCTACGACGTGAATCTCCTACCATTCCCATTTTCAGCCACTAGGCTCAAGGAAACGTCGTTTTTGAGCAGAACGTCAAAAATGTATATGTGAAAGCTTGTTTTTTTTGAAATTCAAGGGAAATTTGGTACATGCTTGGTCGCAGCTTATTTATTGCTTTGTACTGATTTCAAAGGATCCTCAGGTAACAGCATTGGTAGACGAGCTACCAAAGCACAAAGCTGCACACTGTGCCAATCTGGAAGAATGGATCGTCTGCACGAGGAAATACCACGAACAAATGGCTCAACTAAACCGAGAAGTCGAAAAAAGCTAGCTACTCACTAAGAAAACATGTAAATTATTCGAAACACTACAAACACAATTTTGTAGAAATATTGTACTCGATCAAAATAAATAAAATTTCGATTAAAATTTGTATTGAAACGACAATGCAGCACTACATGAAACGATGAGAAGTTTTAACACAAAAAACAAGCAATTGAAATAAAACAACGTCTAAACTGCAAAATAAAACCCTAACAAAATCAACTAAAATGTGCTGCAGTTCAGCAATGAGCAATCATGACCCTCTCCAATTCTCGACTAGTAACTTCTTCCACGATTTTACATGAATGTCATACCCGTTTTCGGTCAAATCGTAATTTGTCACCTGAAAGACCTTACTTAAAATAAGCAAAAGATCACAAAGAAGTTGTCATTTCAATGGGCCCATCACTGGTCCGTGCCACGCACAAGGTGGATATGTTCACAGCTGCAGTAGCGTGAAAAATTCTTTGTCAAAAGTGCATGGGAACGGGGCTGGAGATAGGCTAGCCTAAGTGCCGTTTGAAACTCGCCCATCGCGCATGACCTCCTAAGCATAGCCAAACGCACCTTTGGTCTGCGTCTCTCACGTCTGGTTGCTCTCTACCTTTGGGAGTGTGTTTGCAGCAGGATTTTGGTATCGACGCTAGTGCTGCATATTTCATTGACAGAACCCGCGCTCAACCATTTCGTAGGATTCTGTCATTGCCGTAGGTAGTCCAGTACACATTACAGTATATCGTAAATATATACACTTATGATGGCCGCAGCGCCCAACCATTATACGCCACGAAAAAGGGACATCTGCGGACTAAGCACCGGACACAGGGGGAAGAAGGAAATTCATGAAATGGTTGAGCGAGGGGGTCTGTCTCTCAGATAGCACATGCAGATACTCCAACGGCACCCGGGTGTCACTGCTCTACAGCCTCATTCCCGTGCGCTCTCAAGTGCCGGAAATGTTATACTTGTACAGCTGCAAACCCGTTCACCTCTCACATGGCAAGGGCTGCCCTCAGAGGTCAGTGAACAGTTCGTCTTTGAACTGGATGGGAACCTTTGCGAATCAACTTTATTCTCCAGAAGTGCGCTCTGCTCTAGCACGTTCTGAGGTGGCAACTACCCTAATCCTTTCGATTTCCTGTGAGAAAAGTCAGGGCTGTTTCTCTGTCGTTCTTAACATCATCTGATTCTTACGTTTACAAAAAGTTCACACTCTACCTACCTCGTAACGTTCCACTTCTGCGAGGTCTTTATTCTCTGCGTACGGTCCTATCCAAACATCAATGCAGTCCTCCTTCTGTATCTGCAGAAGAAAACGGTATCAAAGAAGGAAGCTGGGAATTTCTTGGAAGTTCTAATCAATATTAAAAGACTCGATCAACAGCGCTCTGAAGAACTTTGCTCTAATGCTCCAGAATTCACACTGACATTGTCACCGATTGCAGCAGCTTGCTTTCAACCCCTTTCTCGGTGAAGCATAAACCTGAGCAACCTCACAGTATCCCACGGTAGGACCATAGTGAGAAGGAGAATGGAAAGAATGTACGTAAGAACAGAGTCCCCAGCAGCTATATAGAAGAGATGCTGCTGGAAAAAAGACCCGAAAAATCTTTCTACTCAACCCTTACCTTATACCAAACCTTATATTTAATGGGGGCCCATTCTAAGAAAGCCTGGCGACGACTGCGAAATCCCGTACGCTCCTACATAAACAGTCTCAATGCAGGAGCGTGCCAGAAAAACTGGGTTTGGCGCAACGCTAGCCAGATCTCCACCAATTGTTGAAGCAAGGTAAGTGACAACATTTTGGCGGGCTGGCGCCTCGCCAAACGCAGATTTCCTGCCGTGTCTTAGGATCCGCAGAACAAAACTTCGAGTGCTTTCTCTCGTCTGGACCCTTGTAAGTACGCTCCCAGCTAGCCACTTGCAAATCCCCCTTTAGGCCCTCAGCTATGGTTACACAAAGACTTGCCATTAGATTGTCATGTGAAAATATAAAAGCGGAAACATACATACATTGTAGGATTTCTTGGTGTGGACATCCTCGTTCACTCGAACTCGACCACCGAGAATCAGTTTCTCCACTTGCCTAGGAAAAGTTCGACTAAGATTCCTAGTCAAAGCATTCTGGCAAATGTGGTGCAGTTCATCACACAGATAACTAAGGCAATACCCTCTGACCAGGCTTTGATAGCATTTTAGTTTAATGAACCTTGATTACGCAGTGTTCAAACATCTCGACAGACAATTCCCGTTGGCGGAAACCGCAACAGTAGTTAGAGGCGCAATGATCGTTTTCCCACTTCATGACAAGAAAGCGGAGGAGCGCGCTAGTGCGGAATGGTTTAGAGGCACCGCCCACTGATTATCGCGGAGTTCAATCCCGAATTATTTTCAAATCCAGTACCTATCACTGCAAAACGACCTGGCGTGACACGGTGGGGAAGTCCGTCTTGGCTCAGCTCTATCCATGCCCCCTCACGCGCCCCACCATTTCCAGGGATCGTGTGGTTGACTACATACGCAGACACAGGAAGAGAAAGAGCTAGTCGATACATACAGAAGGGGAAGAGATTCGAGACAGTCGACAGCTTTGCTACGTGTGCCACACCTATTTCGCAGCGACCTGGAAGTAACACTCCGCACTCGGCAATCAGGGTACAGCATCGTTGTGTGGAAAGCATAGGGGGGTCGTACTTTTTTCTCTGGGGAGGGGGTCGTATTTGGGTAGTTGATTTTTTCTTGTGGAAAAAGGGGGGTCGTATTAATTCGTATTAATTTTTTGTATTATATGCACTCTGTACCCGCCGGATATACGTTGCATAGTTAT